TTCATTCTGGCTTTCCCTAGGTTCTGAGTAGTAGTCTTCACAGTTTTAACTTCTATTCACTGCAAAGATTTGGTTTTGATTTGGAAGAGTTTTATTCAGTATTATTGGTATTTACCTGCAAAGTCATTTAATTAGTGCAAGGAAGGAAACTTAGCTTTACGGAGGTTTGCTCTTAGTGTGCATTTGTGGTTATGATTCATGTCCTTCTCTACTGAGTGCTGTGCAGCAGAATGGCTTTGCCTGCCGAGGGCTGGAAGCGTTTCTCACTTTGCCATGGTGGGAAAGGTGCACGGTGGTTTTGCATGCAGCCAGAGGCATTAAACCAAAAAATATTTTAAAACCTTCCCAGGATAAGAATTGCAGTAACAGTAACTAAAAGCCAGAATAGTTATTTAATGAAGGGTTAAGGCAACTTTGATTGCATAGTTTTGTTAAAATTAAAGATCTGGTGATTTCTTGTGAAATTCATAATGTGGATTATAAAGTTAAATATGTTTTGCATTTAAAGTAGAGGCTCCTAATTATACTTTTACTAAAGGTGCAGTTAGAGACAGGCTCTGTAGTTCAGGTTTGTGGGAAAAGCTACACAGGAAGAAATTTAAAAAGTATATATTAGCAGAACGCAAAAGGAGGTGCGAAGAAATGTACTTAGGAAATAGACTAGATTTTTTTAAAGTCATATAGTCTATGGGTTGTATATGATGAAATGAGCTCTATAAAAAAGCAAAAATAGCCTTCATTTTTGAAGACTGCATTTGAGGAGAAGCTTTTTTATTTTTGATCTTTCAAAAGTTCTGTATGTCCTGACTGCGAGCATGTACCTTGGTATGTATCTATATTCATAGCACCTTGGATCCAGTTTTCTGAACACAGACTAGATGGTGTTTCACTTCTGACTTCCATATGACCACAGTTAGCCAGGATTTTTAAAGCTTTTTTAGAAAAGCCAGACTTCTTCAAGTAGGAAGAGGCAACCGATAATTATACTGTCAGATGAGAAAATGCTTTATCAGCTCTAGACCGGCATTGATGACACTATAATTTTGCACTGTTAAACAAATTTGTGTGGTAACCACACTGCGTAAAAGCTAAAGCAGTGTGTACTCTGCCTGTCTTCAGTTTTGTAATCAGAAAAGCAAAGGAGTGCTCAGTTAACCTAAGATTAATCACATCAACCGCTTGACTTCTGCTGTTTTACTCTGTATTGCTAATACTCAAGAACAGATATTAATAAGAAAAGAGAAGATATCTCTGAGATTCAAGAATGAATAAATAAGTGAAGCCTTGTAGAAATTGCCTGAAGACTTGACTGATTTCATGGAGAATGACAGAAGCTCTTTATGAATTTCTTTAATTCTTGTGTTTTGTTATGTAAGATGTCCTTAAAGGGAGAAATAGAATTGTGCATTAAAGTCTGAAAACATTTTTTCGTAAAAGGTTGTGAGTACTTCTTCCATGTAGAAATATCCTCTTACAGCTGCTTTGTGTTTATGTGATGGTCTCTGTCAGAAGGTGGATAAATGCATCACGGACCACCAGAAGATGCTTAAGTGACAAGACATGATAAAGATCAGAGTCCACTCATCTATTAGGGCACATGAAGACAGTTGCTATGTTTTGACTCTGAATGAATTTCATTTATGGGGCTCATTGATGCTGCCCCATAGCTTTCAGTGCAGTGGCAGCAAGTCCCCGGGTGCATGGTTCTTGGAGTGTAGGAAGGCACCTGTGCTGCAGCTCCAAAGTCCCCCCACCCCCTACACATCTTCTCTTTGCAACTAAGGAAACGAGGAGGAGGGTAAAATCAGAGAAAAAAACAGCCTAAGGGGAAGAAAGCTAAAAACACAGCAGAAAGGGATGCATATTATGTAATCCTACTGATGCCAAGGCTTTGGTTTTGATACAACATTTATCTTTGCAAGTGAACTTATCACAGTTTTTTTTTTTTTTATGAATGAAGGTAAATGTTACAGGCTTAAACCCTTGTGTAAATAGACAGAGAGGTGCACTTGGTAATCAAGAGAGATTTACATTGCAGTGCTGGAGGTAGACTGGCAGAAGGAAGAATCTTTTGGCCCTTATGTGTTTTAAGTAAGTTCAGCCTTACAGTGGAACTGCAAGCAGTGTAGTGGATAAGGATTGTTAGGCTGATGTGCTGCAAGATTCCATTAGTTGTTGCTAATTTCATATATATTTTTTTTAAAGAACAAAACCACAGCAAACCTATTTAGTTCACTGGTACACTCTGCTATCATTCTGCTTGTACAGCATCTAAGACTTTTGCTGTGTTTTAAATATGGGTGGCTACTTTGATTTAGTACTTTTTAGCTACTTTGAGTATAGAAATGGGGGAGGGGGGGAGATGTTGTTATTCTTCTGACTTCATAAATTGAGCTGTAAATACATGCATTTTCTTGCTGCATTTCTGTGTTTTTGGCTGTTCCCAGTACAGAGGTTAACAACACAGAGCATTATGTTGTCCCGTTTCAATTTATAGGAGGGAGAGGAGGTTCTTTTAATATCTGTATACCCAACGTGAGATTAAGAAAAAACGGTTCATATGTTGGTCCAACCAGTTTATTACAAAACCTAATCAGGGAGACGGGGAAGGGAAGGAGGGCGATAGAAAAGATAGGAAAGATGCAAGAATTGCATAAATCGGGGATAGTCACCAGCAGGATCCAGCAGCGGTCCCGTTGCACAGCGTTTTGAAGGTCCGAGGCAGACACAGCGGGGGGGCGGGGAGCAGCAGCGTGGCCGGCCTTGGGCAGCAAGCAGGTAGACGAGGCAGTCGCGGAGCCAATCCTTGAGGAAGCAGCAGGCAGCAGGCACAGGAGAGTCTGTCAGCATGCAGGTGTCACTTCGTGAGGAGTCTGATAGTCAGGAATCCTATGTTCTTCTAGATGAGGAATCTGTTGCCAGAAACCTCTCATGGATTTCGGTTCCTCTTTTTATCCTCCTTCTTCTCCTGCCTACGTGACAAGATGGGCCTTGAGCAAGAGTCATTGAGTACCCCCTGAGATGGCAGTCGTCCTGAGGTAAGTGCACACAAAGGAGCACTTCACAGCTGTTGAGCTGCAGCTCATCTCGCTCTCGTTGCCCCTGGCCTTGTCCATCTGCATCGCCCAGACAAAGGATTTCACAACCCTTGCTCCGGACTTGTCTGGACTTCAACAAGTCCATCTGTGTCCCCAGCAAGCTTTGAGACACAGACAGAATAATCTACATATGTACTTTACAGAAAACATATCTATAAATGTAAATATTACTCCACTGGGAAACTTTCTAGGGAACTTTCCTTTTCCCTGATGTTTTCGGACTTGGAAGTCAGTTAATACCATTTCTCTGCTAATATCACACAGGGCTGAGCCTTACTATTAGTTTTTCTGTTTGTAGAGGATACCTTTTAAAGTTACTTATAACAAGGCCTAGCAATCTTAGTTTTATACTTGAAACTTTGTCAACCCTGTCATAAGTATGTAAATATCACATTGAAATAATTCTGTGATTTTTCCTGAGTACTTTTGGAAGAGGATTATTTTGGATCCTTATTGCTCTAATGAGGATCTTTGTGACCTTCTAATTTCCTTTCAGATTTTCACCTTCCTTTCATGGTGAGTTTGTACTCATTGGTTCTTGTACCATCACACTCCTTTAATAGAAACAGTCCTTTTCCCTTTCTGGTGTTTACTCCTGATGTATTTACAGATAACAATCCCTCTTATAACAACCTTCATACTTATTCTGCAAAGAGGATGAAATTCTTGTTGTCATCAAATACTTTTTTAAAGCTGCAATGATTGCACTTCAAAAGGAGAAGCAGACTGGTGAGCTGCTGAGTTGCAGAGTACGAGAGGACATCAATTCATGGAAATTCCTAAGGAGTTGCCTTCCTGCTTTGTAAGAGAAGCTGATCAAAGCATTCTTAATATTCTTCCCTTTGGGCCATGATACCATTGCTAGGTTATTATTTAAGCACCGTGTCAGATAATCAACCTTAGTAGGAGTGGTGGGTGTGGGTGGGTTTCCTTCCTGTTTCATAATGGCTTTCCAGATTTGGTGATGAACAGCTGCACTTCTGAGTTCTTTGCAGCACTGTGTACAGTAAGTGCGGATTAACTTGAACATGACTAAAACTGAGATTACTGATGGCTGTCATGCAATCATGTCACTTTAGCAGCTTAACAGGTGAATGAGTGGGATAGAAAAGAGCCTTTCTGAGCCTTTCTAGTGGTTGGTGACCCTGCCAATGGCAGGGGGGTTGAAACGAGATGATCTTTGAGGTCCTTTTTAGTCCAGGCCATTCTACAGTTCTGTGATTCTATGATTCTATGATTCTGTGATGAGCTATGAAACAGCATGCACAAAGTCCTTGTCTATGCAACCCATATTACTGTTCAGTTAGGTTCCAAAGAGTTAGGATTCTTTAAACCAAATAGGTCGGGAAATCAGCAGTGTGTGGAGATATAACATTTGACTTGCCAGGATGGAAATTATTTGGTGTGTAATTTTTGACCATGAAAAAATATGGTAAGTAAAGTTTTGGAGGTTGGAAAGGGAAGCAGTTTCATTCAGTTTCAGACTGCATCTCCCAAATTTGATTTTCAGTAAAAAAGAAGGGAGGCCCCACATCTTTTTTTTTTTCCTTACGGATATTCCTAAAGTCTTTCTAGTAGCCTACCTCACAAATTAATTGTTAAGTAATCACATTTAGCTAACATTGCTGTATCAGAAACTGATAGAACAAATTCTCTGTACAAACTCCTGATTTTAACAAAAGCAAATTTCTGTTATTTTTTTTCTTTTCCTAAACATAGTGGTCTTACCCATACCAGTTGTTCCAGTGGTTCTGTATACTACCACAAAGGAGTCTCACTGTGAAAAGAGCACATTGCCATCATTGTATTTTCATCTGCACATGAAAATGTGGAAGGAGAAATAGTGAGCATTTGGGGGAATATTTTCTGCCCTGCAATATTCTAATTTTTTGTCTTTTTCAGCTGCAGGAATGGATCAGTCCACCTGAAGAGGACTCTATCCAAACATTTGCAGTCTCCAAGCGCATTCTCCTAAAGACTGGCATTACAACTGCACCTTTTTCACAATGGCTGAGAAGGCTCCACCAGGGATCAACAAAAAGTCTTCAAGGTCGACCCTTTCCCTTCCTCCAGAACCAGTGGAGATCATTAGGAGCAAAGCTTGCTCACGGAGAGTTAAAATAAATGTAGGTGGGATCAACCATGAAGTGCTGTGGAGGACTTTGGACAGACTTCCGAGGACACGATTAGGAAAGCTCAGAGACTGCAATACTCATGAATCTCTGCTGGAAGTATGTGATGACTATAATCTAAATGAAAATGAGTATTTTTTTGATCGACACCCAGGGGCTTTCACTTCCATTTTGAATTTCTACAGGACAGGGAAACTACATATGATGGAAGAAATGTGTGCTCTTTCTTTTGGCCAGGAGCTTGATTACTGGGGGATTGATGAGATATATTTAGAGTCTTGCTGCCAGGCAAGATACCATCAAAAGAAAGAACAGATGAATGAGGAGCTGAGGAGAGAGGCAGAGACAATGCGAGAGAGAGAAGGGGAAGAGTTTGACAATACCTGCTGCCCAGAGAAGAGGAAGAAGCTCTGGGACTTGCTGGAGAAGCCCAACTCATCTGTGGCAGCAAAGGTAAGATAAACAGTATGTTTAATGCACAGGAGAAAATTACGTCATCGCTCATGTGTCTGGTGTGTGTTTCACTAAAATATTTAGAGAAAAGAAGGATCTAAACATGTATGTACTATGAAGTAAATACACCCAAGTCTGTTCTAAAGCCCACTGAAATCAGCAGAAGGATTCCTGTTGACTTCAGTTGATTTCAGGCAAATGCTGCATTTGTTGTTTGTAAACAGAAACATCTGTGCAATTGTTAATGGACTTCACGTTAACTCTAAGATAAAAATGTGTCCAGAGGACACCAATTACTTCTTAGAAATGCACTTGGTTATGAGAAACATGTTCTATTAAGCCCACATTTATCCATGACAGTGTTGATACCTGTTTCATTACAGGCATTGTAATGTAATTGTAGATGTGATATCCATGACTCAAAAGGTGTGCTAGATGTTAAGATAATCAAAGAGCAGCATCAACAGCTGCTGTCTGTCATGGTTTTATATTGGGCGAGGATTGCAGTGTTTTCTCTTATACTGTGTTTTATCAGTCAAGAGTTAATTTATTGAAGTATTAAAGCATAGGTATATAAGCACATGTATATGTATGTATACATATGTATGTATGTATATTTGTACATACAAATATATATATATTATATATATATATACATACATAATATGCATGTTATATATATATATTCAGTCAGATGAGGAAACGTTCTCTTGAAGCCCTGTTCCAGTACTGCTGTCTTTAAACAGGCAAACCACTGAAAGTGACAAACAGTGGAAAAGTTTCCCTTTGCAGGACTGTGTACACACACAGTGAGATTTTGGTGCTGCTATTTAGAAGAGAGGTTGCCTTGCTTCTTCATGGACTTCATTGTTCGCTTTGTGACGTGGGGTACTGTTAAATGTGAGGAAAACTGTGGAAGCTTGTCTCCAGTTTGAACCACTCCAGACTAAAAACGTTCAGGATATAGGTGTTTGTGTTATGCTTAACTATGGCTTTGTTTTCTTATGTCATTAATTTTTTATTGGATGCAACTCCATTGGACTAAGGTAAGCATTAAAGTATGTTGGTGGAACGGACAAAAAACAGAGTCCTGGCAAGGATATTTTCTTGCAATAGCAGTTTCTTAGCATTGAGATGCAATACACAACATTTTTATTTTAGTTTTTCATCGTGGACTGCGTAACTGCTAAGCAAGAACTGATTTTTTTCAAAATTTCATTTATTCAGACAGAATAGAAGGTTCATAACCAGATTAAAAGCTAATAGGAGAAGAAAAAAAAAAAAAGTGTGTATTCAGTATATTTTACAGTGTGATAAGAATACATTTTCTGCTGTGTAGATCCATATTCCAGGCCATATGTTCCTCTCCAGGAAGAGGAGCAGAGGGGAAGCAGATGGGCATAAGGTGTGCCAGGAAGGGTTCAGGGAGGCCGCGTTGCGCTCTGTGATCCCCTGGTACAAGTTAGCCTCCATCAGCACCCCCAGGGTTCTCTGACACAGCTGCTGCACAGCCTGCAGGAGTCAGGGACCAGCTTCTCAGGCCCACACTGTTTAGAAGACTCCTGAGGTGACCTGTAGCAGACCTCCCTCCTTCCCAGATGGCTGTAAGCATAAAATAAGAAGCAGCAGCATGGTGGTCATGAATCTGGCTTCTCACTGGTGAGCAAGGGGGGCTGAGCTCCTGATGGGGTCACAAAGCTGGAGGAAATTGTGCCTGAGGGGAGACATTCGCCCACCATGGAACAGCCACAGCTGCATCCTCACCATAAGTGCAGGCAGGCTTTGGGGGAGAGGAAATGGAGTGTGTATTTGTAGAACCTATTCTCATTTATTTATTTTTTTTAAACATATAGAAGAAAGCTCAGGACTTCAGACATTAGTTTAATTAGTGCTTCCCTAAGACTGTTTTGAGTTAGGAGTCAGCACAGCAAGATGGAATTGATGAATAGAGCAAAACTAAAATAGTGATTGTTAGGTTCTTTGTCTGTGATTAACATTTAGCCACTCTTCTGGTTGGTAGATAAATGCAGAAATACAGGACAGTCAAACTTACATGAGCTACTGACCCAGCTCTTCATGGATTCACCATTCCTCATCATGATTTTGCTGTTAGTCCACCTGAGCTTTTAAGAAAATCCCCCTTTGGTTGCTTAGGCCAGATTTGTCCTCTGGTTTTGAAACCAGAAATGAAAGTGGCTGTTTCTTTCTTTTCCCAAGATGATTAAATATGTATTGTTTACCTTTTTATTTCCCTTTTCCCTCATCTGTTTTGATTGAATGTTAATGTTCTACGCTTCCTTGCTACAGGGATTTTCACATTGCACTTGTGTACATGTTGGAATGGATAGCTGGTTTGCATTATTACAATTGCCTTCTGTCTAAGTTAATGCCGTCTTATGTGATTCCTGTGACTCTAGCAGCTGGAAGTCACCCTGTTATATGCACTCCATTTCTCTTTCTGGCAATTCTCGGTCTATAAACACATGCATGAGCCAAAATGATAGTCAGTTACACCCGTGACATCTGAAGGAAGGCTGTAGAAGCTTGGCTGAATGATATGGTTACACAACATAAAAGGAGAGCAAAAGCTGTCGCAGCATATTCAGACTTGTGGAACACAAACAAACAATCAGAGCTGCATGTAAACAAGATATGCTGGAGTCAGTCGGATGTGCTCTTTCTGGAGCCATTGCAGGCTGGCCGCAGTTCTTATCTCAAGTGTCTGGATAATGTCATTTTCAGATTTCTCATCTATTATTTCATTATGTGGTAAATTGCTGGTTTGTCCCAAAACAGGAGGCTGAACTATTTTCCTTCCTCTAGGAGCAAAAACAACCAGCCCCCATCCTGTGAATCCTGTATTGGGCCATGACCTCTACATCCCAGGGACAAGGGCTTCTCTCCCCTAGTATCCCAACAGAGCATCTAGGAGGTCTGCTGGGCATAGAGCAGCATGTCTGGTTCAGGACTGAGATGGTTCCTAGGAAGGGAAAGATGCTGGCATTTTTAAACTGGAATGTTGGGAAAAAAGTAGGAAATACTACCATGGAGCCTAGAATTCAGTGATAACTGTCTAACTTCTGATGAAACAGATGAAAATGGGGCAATGTACATAGCTGTATGAGAGGTGCCTGGCTTGTCATTCAGGTACTGTGTAGTGCCTAAGCAGTTGACAACAGCAGATTACTTTTTAATCTCTTTCATGTAAAAGATTAGGAATGTGAGGTGAACACTCATGTGTGGTTTGGATATGTGGGTGTGCCTTGTTACCTCTGGGATTCTGCTAAGATCCCTTCTGGGCCTGATCCAAAGCTTACTGAATTAAGGAGGAGTCCCAGTTTGGAGTGGGTATCATAAATTGTGCTTCTGTAAAGGTCAGTGAAGGCTTGCCATTGACTTCACTTACAGCAAGATGAAACACAGCAAGATTGGAGCACAGCAACAGATGTTATTTTACAGAATTTATGACAACAAATGGGAAATAATGGTTATGTGTGGCAAGTAATGAAAGCTGTAGATAGTAAGAAAGTAAGAAAGGAGCATTATAGATAAAATTCTGTTGTTCAACACAGGTACACTTTACTGTGTGAGTTTTTTATTTTAGTAGGTATGAGCGTGCACTTCATCTCCATCAAGAGTTTCCTCTAGGTATGGCAATTCTCACATAGTCCTCTCTCCAGCAAAGCCTTCCATGATTTCAGTAGAAGTTTTGAGCAGGAAAGGCAAGATTTGTCTCTATTTTCCTGCATTCTCATTCATAAGCTTTTCAAGTAGGATTAAGAAAGAGTTTTGTGAGAGTCTGGCATTTGCCTGGAGAGTAGTGCCTGAAATTTTTGACCACTGTGCAACAAGTATTTTGTGAAAACTGAAGAAGGTTATCTTACCTATTTGTAGTGCAGCAAAAAGAAAACAAAAACATATTCTGAGACATTAAGGCAAAGAAATCTGAAGTGGAATAGGCTCTCTCCCTCCCAAGGTCCATGGTACATCCATTTTTCTTCACCAGTGTCTTAAGCACCGTGGAGATTTTCTTTGGGAAGTTAGAAAAAAAAAGAATGACCCATAACTTTGTCTTTTAGTTACAGCTACTAGGCATAAAAGAGCTTCCTTAGAGAAGAAGCAGCTCTGAACAATCCGTCTGTAGTCTGAAAGTACTCAAGAGACACCAGAATGAGTATTGATTTAAGTTGGGTATGAACTGACCTCAGTTGAATTGCATAGGTGGGTACAGTTCAGCACCCGGCTGAACTGGGATATTAAGGATGAATCTAGCTGAGGTCAAGTCTTTTCGATGATGTATGTATCATAGTAGTCTGCTCAGCTTACTTAAGATCCAGAGGGCTTTACTTCGGAGCAACTGTGAATGATCAGAGGGCTGGAGCACCTCTTCTATGAGGAAAGTTTGAGGGAACTGGGATTGTTTAGCTTAGAGAAGAGGAGGCTCCAGGGAGACCAGATTGTGGCCTTCCAGTACTTGAAGGGAGCATTGAACGGGAAGGGGAACGGCTGTTTATGAGGGTGTATAGCGATAGGACAAGGAGAATGGTTTTAAACTGAGACAGGGGAGGTTTAGTTTAGATATTAGGAGGTTGCATTTCCCCCTGAGGGTGGTGACACACAGGAACAGGTTGCCCAAGGAGGATGTGGATGCCCCATCTGTGGAGGCATTCAAGGCCAGGCTGGATGTGGCTCTGGGCAGCCTGGTGTGGTGGTTGGCAACCCTGCACATAGCAGGCGGATTGAAACTAGATGATCATTGTGGTCCTTTTCAACCCAAGGCCATTCTGTGATTCTATAATGATTCTACACGTACTGCTTCACAGTATTAGCTCATGAACTCCTATTTCCATTCTTCTTTGTAGAATTCAAGAGCTTGATTCTTTTCTCACGTTTGTTTTATATCAAATCCTAAAATAAGTAAATATCAAATAAATCCTAAATAAATATGGAATGTGTACAGTGCAGATGAGATACTATGAATATAGTTCGTGAGGTCAGAA